ACTGGAGCAACAGGGCGCTTCAGGGTAGGAAAAGCGGCACCAAAAAAGAAGGCAAAGACACCAAAGAAGAAGACACCTAAGAAAAAGAAGGCAAAGAAGCCCAAGAAAGCAAAGAAGACCAAAAAGCCTAAAAAGGTAAAGAAGGCGAAGAAGGCAAAGCCAGCTAAAAAAGCAAAGAAACCAGCTAAAAAAGCAAAGAAGCCAGTCAAAAAAGCAAAGGCAAAGAAGTCTCCAAAGAAAGCAAAAAAGGCCGTTAAGAAGGGAGCTACTAAAAAGTAGACTTCTGAATTACCTACAACAACCAAAGGCCCTTTTAAGGGCCACCCAAGATTCTCAAAAAGCTTCCATTTCGCTCAAAAAAACGCAGTTTTTAACGAATCCGTAAATGCAAATAGGGAATGTCCTTTTTTTATCAATGGTGTACACTCCTTTAAAGTTCATTGATAAAATCACAGCTTGGTTATATAAATGACTTGTTACCATAACGTTTTTTTTTTGTTTGGGCTCAATGAAAAATAAACCTAGAACCACTTAAATGGAATACAATATAAAACGCGTTTGATTCATTCGAATTGCAATGTATTAACGTACATGTATATCGGGGTTTTCTGAATGCATGAGCACAACATAGTTTAAACAAGTTTTGTCAAACTTGTATTACAAACAGGCCTATTTACAAAAAACTGATAATTTGAAGGATGAAACAGTAGATGTTTCAATGGAAATAAGAAAAATTGACACTTCCTTCATAACAGTTTGTGTTTTGTCCCTAAATATTATAAACGACAAGAAGGAAGTTTTGCTGATTGTGTGCAAAAAATATACTTGTTGCAGTAAATCCTCTTGACTGTTTTCTGTGTATATAATATCACGAAAGATCTTAAGTAGAGCACGTATTTAAAACAAAAACGATGATAAAATATACACGTTAATGTGCCAGTCCCTTGAAATACTGAAACAAACAAAAAATGCTATTTTTTTTTCTACCGATTCATATTTTCAGGTACCACATCGACCTGATATTAGTTGAAATACATAAGTTTTTTTTGCTGGAAGGGTTATAATTATTGTTATAGACCATTGCTTCATTCTTGAATTCCCGAATGCATAATTTGTATTCCAAAGATAATAAAAATATGATAACAAAAACACCAATAAGACCTTGAGGCTGACTGTTGTTCATTGTATTGATATTTTATAAATTGCATAAATTTGTTATTTATTACTTTTATATGCTTATAATTTGCAATTAATCATTGTTATTCTTGAGTGAGTTACTTTAATGCGTATTTAATATAATTATTCATGTTACAATGAACTTGGTAACTGTATTACCCTGTCTGCTGTGTATGTTGTTTTGAATTGCTGACCTCTTGTTACACACACAAGTATGTCAATAAAGAATCTGAATCTGATATTTATAAAGATGGGAGGGGTTTGCAAATTGGTGTGGTGATCTAATAATGCACAAAAAACTTGTTAATAAACTTTAACCAAGTCCACATCAAGCTGCTTTTGGCCTCTAAAATACGAATAATGGTTCAGCACATTGCTTACATAACAATTAGTGCCTCCGTATAAATACCTCAACCTCATAATTGTCAAAAGCTTATCGTATATAGAGTGTGGTGATCTACCACTGTCTGGAAAAGTTTGCTCAAAAACGTTAACCTCTAGTACTGTAGGACACTGCCGGGGTGACTACATTAGCCAAGGCCTGGGCGACTACATCAGCCCCCAATTGATGGTGAGAGTGACCAACACATACCCACAATGTTTATAAAGCTGGTAAATGTCAGAGAGTAGTAGAATATCAATGGATTAACATTTAGTGACCCTTGTGTAGTAATTGAAATTTACTTTTGATAAAGGACATTACCATCATTGAAAAGTATCTTATTATAGCATCACTAGGTGTGAAGAAGACTGTTCATCATTCGTCAGCTATTCGGTAGTGAAGCGGACGTAAAACCTATCAATCAATCAACTCTTCAACATTTTAGCCAATTTGACCTCTTTTGGCTCAAAACCTCAGGCCCTAGGGGCGAGTCTGGGACTTTTAAATTTTCATACCATCAAATTGGCCAACCACAGAAAATATATAATATACACTCAAAAGTGTTATTTTCTATAGTAAACTTTACTCCCTCTGCAAGGGAGAATGGATGACCGAAGTTAATGACATTCACAAGTACATGTGGTACTAACAATTTAATTGATGATAAAATTAACTTGGAAAATATCTTATGGACGAAAATTAGCTACTACGTATGCGAATAATGGTATGCCTGTGTATATGCCAGAAGAACTTCGTTACCAACCCAAGTCATCAAGGACTGCCCAACGATGAGAAATTGATGCATCAATATAAGTGCATGATCAAAAGATTGTTTAAATTAAAGCATTTTGGTTTTGAACAGTTTTTTGGGATAGTGCTCAAATATTGGATATAGAAGCCATTTCACCCAAGGCTTAGGTTGCCAGTGTGATTGATAGCAATTGATGACAAGGGTTAAAATGCATTGGTACTTGGCAAAAGAAGAAACGCATAACGCTATCCTCATATCAATATCATTCTATTACTTGGTATGCGGGGTTCTATTGCTTGGTATGTGGAGTTTTATTGCTTGGTATATTTCCACAAAATTTTGATATTAAAACAACTTGAAGATTAATCTCTTTACAATTGTCTGTGCGACGTTGTTTAAACGATAACTGCTGAGCGCAAGAGTGATGACCACGGTATAGAAAATGACACTTCAATATTTGCTGTGTCAACCCCAAGCGTGAATTCCTACTCGAATTTTCATATGCATATTATTCATGAGAACATTTAATTGTCTCAACGGAATATTGTTCCATTCTTCCGTCAACGCTGCAATCATGCAATTGTACGTGGTTATTTAGCAGGTTTGTGGATACGTCCGTCAAGGCCATCCAAAAGATGTTCCATGGGAGACATGTCGGGGCTATATGGAGGACATTCTGAACGTTGTTTGCTGTGAAAAATTCAAGGCAGATCCTGGCAGCACGTTGTCGAGCAATGTCTTGCTGGAAGGTGAGGTTGTTCTGTCCAAGAAACTGTAGGATATGTGGTTGGAGTATCTAACAGCAGTGACGTTTTGGTTAAGGTAATAGGATTGTGTCACCATTTCTCAGTAGAATTTCTTCAAATTTTGTAGTTATATTGCTTTTAAGTAAAGAAAATTTTCTGCCACAAAAAAAAATATATGTTGTCAGAATTTTAAGGATTTTAAATGGAAATTTATGTAAAAAGAAGTGAATTTTGAAAAAAAAATGAAAGACACAATATTTTTACAAAATAAAGTCAATAAAAATGATACTGACATATATTAGTATTGCATTAATGTATACCAATTTAATAAATGCTGAAATTGTGTAAAATTAATTCTCTATACACGATATAAAAATTGACATTTTATAATAAAACCATATACACATAATAGACACATGTGATCATTGATAAAAGAAAACCTGAATTAATGCCTGGATTGCTTTGAAATACTTTAATATTGAGAGAACACACTGTTCTGTCAATAATAAACATACAATATTCATCAATTTAATATTAAACATTAGAATTTGCGGAAATTGTGATGCTGTCTCCCTACATTGGTTATTCAACTAGGGATGTACTTCCTGTTTCCGTTTATCAATACACTCCAATGACCTTAAGTATTACTAAGGGGGATTTCACCTCCCCAACCCATTACAGAGGCCCTACTGAACCTATCACGTTTAACAATGCATGCATTGGCGAAGCGCTCACTGGGTCTTCGTTATACCCTTTGCCTTCCGTCAGAGCCCAAACGACTCAATCTAGACTTGTTGGTGAAAATTACATGTCCCCACACACGCATTCCAAACCGATTCAAACCATGTCTTCTCATTCAAGCAAGACGCACTTGCCAATGCGTAAGAGGTGGTCCGACATATGGTTGGCCTACATTGATTAAAGACGCATGCGTGCTGTCGATCGCTTGAGCCGTCATTACATTCTGACAACCGTTCCTGGGATGGTCAGACATTTTAAACTGACCCAGTGGCACACGAACGTTAAAGCAGACTAGACAATACCAAATTACTGTGCAACAATGACTATGACCGGCCAAGAACATTGCAATTGCTCATCTCTCTAACTTGGGTGAAATGTGGCATCTTATTCAATGGCAAAAGGAAAATGTTTGCATGGAAAACTGATGTGGTTATCATCAAAGTCTCGTATAGAATGATATGATTGTTTGCGAAAATGCATGCCTTTTTGGGTCATGCGATTCAGAACACAGTAAGGTACAATCTTTCTTTACAGATAAACGAGTTATGTAAGGTGGGAGTTTATTCGTTTCTTTTCCCCCATATATATATATATATATTCATTACTGCTATCCATTTTCTGCCATTGGTTAAATAACTGAGTATCATGATAGAATACACACAAATTATTTATGATCCAAGAGGTTTGATGTCCTTGCACTCAAACTTCTGGAGAAATATAATTAAAAAACCTTGGAATCCTAATGTTTTGGCCTCTAGCATCACTGAGGAGTCCTAGAAGGACGACACTGCCGTATGATGCAGTACGGTTCGTATGTGGCATACTGTATCTAGTACCAAATCTTAAAGGTGCATCCCATGTGCTTGCGTTACATTTATCTTTTACCCAGTAACATTAGTCCTATGCTGTCACAACGTATCGAAAAATTGGTATATCGCAATAGTAAACAGGCATATCATATCATATCACAATACATTAATGAAATATCGATGCATCCATACCCCATATCAAGACCAAATTCTTTTACTCCATCCCTACAGTTTTAAGTGGCCTCAGACTTTAGATTTAAATAACTTAACTTGACAATATTCTATTGGTTGCCAGGGCAACATGGCAACATCAAGTCTGTCCGGCAGTATTGCTGTTTAAATTGTTCCCATGACAATGTATGGTGCACATACATGTAGCTGTAAAGTTATGGTGTACTAAAAAGATAACACAGGTTTGGTCAAGTAATGTCATTTACTGTGCATGCATGTATTTCATATACATCATAAATATGAACCCTGGATATTTCACAGTGGGCATCTTTCACACCTATCATCAGCCCAGGCTGTTATAGAAATAGAAATATTGTCGTTGAGTATCGACACAAACAGCTGGAACTGTCTTGAAATTCCCTCACTTTTGTAATAATATGTTGTCACGGAAAGTTTAAAATGTCACAGTTCAGATGAAAGACGGCTTCTACTGTGCTCTGTCAATGTATAACAGAATTATTCACTCTGCTCACATTTACCCAAAGATTTTATTTAAGATAAAAATGTCATTCCCTTATAGCGATAGTCATCATCAGCTAGCTTCTGCATGTCCATTAGGCTTCTTCCCTGTTGGTCCACCTCCTAAGATGTCTTCTGCAAAATATAGAGACAACTGTCAGCTGTATACATCTGTCTAAATATAGCATACTGTATAAAAAGTATTTTGTTACATTTTTGTCATTTCAACAGGACAGATATATCACATCAAGGAACCTTACCTACACGCTTTCTAATCTCATAACCAAACATTGAAGATTTGTTTTTCCACATAGAATATTTGAAAACTTGTCTGCAGGAAAAGATGAAAATTTGGAGGAGAGAAATATAGATAGCACAAGATTAACACTGCGACACCTGTCAAGTAATTACGAGAATAATTTCAGTTACCTGTCCGAAGTAGCACTGTGTCATTGTGAGTCGCCTGACACTGCATAATCTCTGCACTGAAGTTACTGGTGCCTCCAAACATGATAAGTTTGTCACCAATGACACCCACAGACTGCTGCCCCCGACCACTGGGAACCTTGCCTTTCACTGTTGCCTGGTACCACTCCTTGGTATCTGGGAAACCAAGTAACACAAAATATCTCATTATTATTTTAAGATGCTGTGTAAGAAAACTTGAAATTGAAAACAACTCTTCCATTCACTTTATAATTAAAATTACTGCATTTAATATTGCTAAATTAAGGAATTCATGGTTTATTGTCTCCCTTGATTCTTCTGAATCTGAAAATTGGCAAAAAGCTTAAAATCAGCTTTCAAATTTCTGTGGATGTTTTAAAAGTACAGTTTGAGAGAAAGGTATACAACTATACTTTTAATGCAAAAGTTAGCACTGAACACAATTTTTGCACCTGAAAGTAAGTCAGAACAAAGCAATTTTACATATTTTATGGAATATGCATGGAAGCCACTCCTTTTATAAGGACAAGCAAAAGCAAACAAGCCAGGCCATGTCACCAGTGTACACTCACTCTGTGTAGCAAAGCAGGAAATGCCCTTTGTATGCTCTTGTAAAAACATTTATAAACTTACCCAGGGAAAATATGCTGACATCATCAAAGTGCTGGTTGTCTTTTCCTCTTCCTCCTAACACTACAACTCTGTCTCCAACAGCAGAAATTGTATGAAATGATCTTGGACTGGGTGGTCTCCCTTTGCAATTAATATCCATATCCCACTTCCTTGTTTCTGTCACATAAAAAATACATTTATAATTACCATACTAACTGTGAATTCCTACTCTACAAAATTTTCTCATCAAGGTAGAGAGTTCCAGTAACTTTCTATACTGTACACAGGCCTTGAAAAGCGAGTTTACTGTTAAATCTATTTACTAACAGGTACACTACTTTCATATAAAGACAATTATAGCTTGTGGGCTGTTTTGAGGAAGTTAAGACATTTAAAAATTACTTCCAGTAATGTTACAGAAATGTTTTGAGTCTTTGACTGGTAGAGCAATGGATAAGCTTCTTGAGTAAAAATCAAGAGGTCCAGGATCCAAATTCCCATGGTCAAGTTTTTTTTGGGGAAGAAGAAATTTATAATAGAAACATTCCTTTATAAACAACTTTTTGTTTTTACTATAGTAAATGGGCAAGCAACTCCCGAGTCAGGAAATTCCTGAACAAATTTGAAAATATGCCCAGAACAAACTCATGACTGATGTGTTCTACTGTTACTTATAGCTATATTTTACTGTAGACTTGGGTAACTTTCAAGATTGCGCAGCATTTTTAATATGTAATCATTTCCATTAATAGTTGGCATGATGATAAAATCATTGTTTTACAATCAATAGCTGTAAACGTGTTATTTCAAAGACTATTTTTTAATTTGGTACATACACATCACAAAACAAAATTCAAACACTTTTCCAGCACATTTGTTTTTCTCCCATTTCTCAGTATGAGACTTTCAGAATTGTTTAGTGTAATGACACTGTTATATTATAAAACAAAATTTAAACAAATTTCAATAGACTGAAATAATCAATTTCTTTGTACACTGTATCAAAGTTTTTATCAACACAAAACTTTTACAATAGTCCTTCATTAACAAAATTTGACTGAGTCCTTCATAGAAAAGAACACATTTTGTCTCCAGAATATCATATCTACATATTTTTCGTGGAAAATTGATTGCTCACTTTCCATGATATCAGCATTTCCCGGTTCTTTTTCATGGCCTGTATGACCCATATTTAATATCTATAGTGTTGGATCTACATCTGCACTGAATCATCAATTTTACAGGTGAAAGGTTTTTTTTCTGAACGAACAACTCGGTAAAGATATTTTCATGTTAGATTTGTGCGTAGTTCACAGAATCAACATCAAAACATGAAAACTTAAACATACCTGTGTCAAAAATGTGGATGTCATTCTGTCTGTCCTCTGTGTCTCGTCCTCCCATGATTACCAGACTTTTACCAACCGCACAGAGACCATGAGCAGCCCGAGGACTTGGCACTCCTAGATTCATCTGTAGTGGCTGTGACCATTTGTTGGTTACTGTTCAACACAAATTAAGCTCTTATCATTTTTTTTTTTTATATATTTTGAAATGTTATGTAAATCGTTTCAAGATTGGGAACCACCTCTCTACCTCTAGGGGAGGAGGAAACACTCTTTATTTTAAAAAGAAACATGGCGTTCTCGGGGCCCCATGCTTTAGACACTACAGACCAAAAATAGTTAAATTTTTACACCGATGATGAAGGAGTAGGATTTAGAAGCTGACACTTTATTTTCCCTTTTAATTTGTGCTCCTGCTTTTAAAGGAACCACAATTTTATGCATATGAAATCAAATTCCTTTGGCCAAGTGATGATCTGTTCCACATTTACATAAAATCCTGAAAGTCCTTCTGCACAAAATGCCTTGTACAGGAAAAAGTATTTAAAAATCTCTTAAATACAAGTGTAGAAGCATTTATGCACCTGTATCAAAGACATATAGGTCATTGAACCAGCCAAATTCTGCAGCTTCCTGATCTCCAGGAAGCTCATCATCCTCTTCATCTTCATATTCTTCATCACCCTAGCCAAATAAACCAATTCATTTTTGTTAAAAATGGCAATATGTCAATCAAAGGTCAACAGAGATGAATTTTTTCTTAAAAATCTTAATTATTGGACAGTTATCTTGTTGAAATCCTATTTCTTTGCATCTACATTGCAATTTCTATACTAATGCTATTTTTTTTATTTTACAGTGCAATGTAGACAAAAGGTTATGTACTCTCATTAACTTCAATGCAGGAGGGTATGATTGCTGAACAAACACTTCTGATATACATGTTTATCTTATTTGTAACATCACTATATCCCATTATGTACATTCCAAGGGCAAAATGGTTGAAAATCAAGGGGCAACTAGAAGAGACTAAAAGGTTTCTTACATCATCTTCCATAGCTAAAGTTGCCTTGGGTCCAAATCCTCCAAAAAAATAAATTTTTGTTCCTATGGCAACAGACTGTAACTTGTCTCTTGGACAAGGACCATCGGCTGCTTGGACGCTTGACCATGTCCGAGTTTCTGAGAAAATAAAATAGAAAACTTAGATAATGTTTTAAACATCAGACAGAAGAAGTTAACCACTGTTTCACTTGCTGTTTGGTTTAATGGTGTTATTGTCTATCTACATAAATTTGTATGAAATATCAACATTGAAACCTAATTGAAGGATGATATGTCTATTCAGACCACCTGCCTATCAGTTAATAACTACTACAGTGATAAATCTACATACATTTATTGTATACGAGACCATAATATCATACTCTATAAAAACTTATCGTCCAACACTGATTACCACAATCTCAAGATTTCACTGAATGAAGATAACTTCCTTTTAAACAAGAGGCCCAAAGGGCCTGTATCGCTCATCTGGATATCTAAAGCAATCATGGCAAAATATTCTCCAAATAAGATCCAAGGGAATATGCCAGACCCAAAGGCCAATCCTTGTAGTGTACATGTATCTGTATTAGATTTTTCATGCCCAGCAATTTTATGTATGGTTATGGGGTGGGGATCTCAACTGTTTCCAAGCTGTGACTCAGAAACTAGGTCCTCAAGGGGTTGTGGCCAGACCCCAGGATCAATTCTAATATCATGATTTCATTCGTCTCTTTATGCCAAGCATTTGTATTTGTAGTTTAGGGGTGGGGATCTCAACCATTTCTAAGTTATGACCCACAGATTAAGTCTGCAAGGGTGGGGCAGACCCTTGGGTCAATTCTAATATCATGACTGCATTCGTCTCTTTCTGCCCAACAATTGTTTTTATGGTTTTGGGGTGGGAATCTTGACCGTTTCAAAGTTATGACCCAGGAGTGAAGTCTCCAAGGGTGGGGCAGACCCCAAGACCATCCTGGAAGCATATGTGCAATCATCTCTTTATACTCTGCTGTTGTATATATGGTTATAGGGTGGGGATCTCAACTGTTTCCAAGCTGTGACTAAGAAACTAGGCCCCTAGTGGTTCGGTCAGACCCCAGGGTCTACTCTAATATCTTGACTGCATTCGTCTCTTTATGCCCAGCATTTGTATATATAGTTTTGGGGTGGGGATGATCTCAACTGTTTCAAAGTTATGACCCAGAGACAATGTCTCCAAGGGTGGGGCCAGACCCCAAGGACCATTCTGTAAACATTGTATACGTAGCTGGTTACATGTTTTAAACAAAATCAAGGTAAGTGTTATAATGTTGCTTACCTGTATCAAACACATGAAAATCCCCCAGCCATCCACACGTCTGATTCAGACCTCCGAACATATACAACTTGTTCCCAACACAGGACAGTGCCGCTGCTGATCTTGGTGGAGGGGCTTCATTTTTATATGCAACTTTCTGCCAAACCATTGTTTCTGGAAAAAAATACACTTATTTTTTCAAGTTGTAAAATTTAAATGTTTTTAATAAACAAAATTGAATTTTTATTTAATACCCGAGTATATCAAGCTTTAACACAATGGTAACCCAGAAAATTTCCCAGGTCAAACAAGTTAATACATTTTATTTCTAATGGATTTATTTCAAAGAAAGGGGATTTTTAATGTATATATTACACTCTGTAATTCTTTTATCATTTATTTATTGTGAGTAAAATAAAGGTCATGTCATATTTATTTCTTCTGCCCTTTTTGTTTTAACCACAATAGTATGAAATGAACAAGGTCATTTAATCTAAAACTTGCAGTAGTCATCTTTTAAGATGTTAAAGAATGCAGTATGTCTTTGCTAAATTTTAAAGGAAAATAGAAAATTTCCTATTTAAGATAGCAAGTCGAGGCCTAGGATCAATATGTCTAGATCTGGTGATATCCTGGTTTTTATATTTAGGTAGTGAAATGTGTTAGAAAAAGAATTTTGGTCACACTAGGACTGTAATCTCCGGGTTTTTACTGTGTATTTTGCCATTGGATTTGCCACAAAAGATTGGGAAAAATCATACTGGTAACATATTTTCCTTTTTTTCAAATTATGATGCATATATCTAGTTTTTCCTGATCAAATTAGTTAGAAACAGTCTAATTCTCATTGCAAAATGAAATTCTGGCTCTAATATATAAAGGATCATGATTGATTTGCAATTATGTCTGTTATCTAAGTGAAGGAAAAGTGAATAAGAATGATCGAGAAACCAATAAAATAATGTTACTTTTTCATGCTGGGCTTTGCTTGTTTACTGTTATATTTAAATTATCATGATACCATAGATAAATTAATGTAATTGGGCCAATTGCTCATGTGACTGGTTCAGCAGAAACAACAGGTACAGATCAGGATCCGGAATGGACCAAGCTTAGGTTGATCTCTGGAAAGTTCTACACATTTAGATCAAGAGGTCAAGTCTTGTCTTGCTGGAACTAAACAACTGGCTATGTCTATGGATAATTTTAATTCAGTTCTTTATTTGTTTAACGGGATTGCGAACAGACAAAGGGCTACGAGTCACTTTCCTGGATAATTGAGCAACCATGGGGAAATATTCTCAATAAACTTACTTTTGAAAATATTTCCATATATTGAGTCTCCTTGGCGTAAAGAATAGTTTGAAACTCAATGAAACTTTATATCACTATCCAAACATGCTACTGGTCAAATATCATCACCTAGGTCCTCCTAGTATTGCAGAAGTTGTTTAATGATATTTACGTATTTGACCCCATGTGACCTTGAAAGTAGGTCAAGGTCATTTATTTGAGGAAAGTTCAAAGTACTCTGTCCTAGCTATAGGTACCTATTGGTCAAGTATCATTACTCTCTGCCTCAAGTTATTCAGCAGAAGTTGTTTACAAGTTTTTACATATTTAACCACTGTGACCTTGAAAGTATGTCAAGGTCAGTTATTTGAGGAAACTCAATAGTGCTCTGTCCCAGGTACCTACTGGCCAAATATCATTACTCTGGGCCTCTTGGTTAGTCAAAATATGTTTAAAAAAAATAAATACTTTTTACCCATGTGGCCAAATATCATTACTTTGGTCCTACTGGTTGTTTAGGAGAAGATGTTTAAAGGTTTTAGAACACATTTGACCCCTGTGACTTTGAAAATAGGTCAAGGTCATCTATTTGAGGAGCACTTTATGCCACGTACCTACGGACCAAGAATGATTACTCTGGGCTTCCTGGTTATTCAGAACAAGTTGTTTAAAGTTTGTTTTTACATATTTAACCCCCCTGTGTCCTTGCATAGATCAAGGGAATTTATTTTAGGAAACTTTATAGAGCTCTGTCCAAGGTACCTACTGGCCAAATATCATTACTTTAGGTCATCCAGTTCTTAAGAAAAGCTCGTTACAAGGAAAATTTGACGCACAAAGTGCCAGGTGAGCTAAAAATTAAAGCAAGCTAAAAGGCAAGACATGGCCAGGGTCCAAACCTGGGAACCTCGGAACTCTAGACAGATGCTCTACCAAATGAGATACCAGCTGGTCACTGAAGATAGACCTATAGTCCAGTTCCGCTACATTCCTTCCTCCTTTTTTCTAAGTTTTAATTTGCCCAAGAAGACACAACTATTTACAACCTAGGTTCATGCATCTCCTTGCCAAGTGTACATCCAATGCTCGAAACAAGGGTTGGTCACCGGCACCAGTGTAACAGGAGATGGAAAAATGCACGGCTAGACTGGGGTTCAAACCCAGGACCCACCTAACTGTAGGTGGATGCTCTATCTATTGAGCTAACCTTGTTGATGAGGATCACCCAGTCTAGTTCCGCAACACAGTAATAAAATTGTTACGCAAAACAGTAACAGTTATCCATATGCATAATTATTACACGTATATATACACCTGAATCCAGTTTTGGCCAGGTCAAATAACTGGACCCTTGATCTACACCTGCAAATTCTCCTGAGGTCATGATCATGCTGAGCCTCTGTCTCCAGAGGTCATGATCAGCCTCTGTCGCGATCTAGATCTGTCCCTGTTGTTTCCCTTCAAGTTTTGACAGTGGCCCTGTTCCGAGCACAGGTGCTCAGGTTCTGGACAATATGTGATATATTTAGGTATCGCACATCTGTAATATATAACATTATATCTGTTTACATATCGCTCCCCACTAGATATTGCATTTATTAGTATAGGGGGTGCGATATCTTGTAGGGTGTGATACATAAACAGATAATAATATATGTATATATATTAAATAGAACCCAATTATTTATTATTAGGCCTACAGTGATGTGCGATGCCTAAATATATCACATATATTCTACTCCTATAACATAAGAGCGGCCTTTTTTCTATCAGATATGATTTTGCAGACTGCGACTGCGCCTGTCAAAAGTAATTTAGTATCTCTCCGTGTCAATAACTGTTGGAGTATTTTAATCCAGAACCCGAGCACCTGTGGTTCCGAGTTGTCTCCACTTTGGCCACTGCTGTTTTTGAGATTGAGTGTGTGGGGGAGGTAGAGTTGAGTCCTAGTAAAAGGAGCCCTTGGATCATGGTAGTTCTATTATCATCTATCTACAACAGATTATAAATGTGACAACATCATCGATATGTCATAAACAATTATTCACCTGCATCGAAATTTAACATTTCCTTCGTTTCTGTCATCTCGGCATCATTGGTCTGTATGACACCTCCATAAACGTAAAGTTTGGAGCCACACACACAACAACATTGGCCTTCCCTGGGCTTAAACGGGTTGTCCGCGGCAACGCCCCACTCCACAGCGATATCGTTCTCAATGACTTCCATAATGAAAATGATTACAGAGGCTGGGTGATATCTTTCTTGGTGTGACAGCTGCAGTTTCCCGCGGTTTTCTTCATAGATTTTCCGGAAGTAAATATTGCGCAATTTTCACTCTCATAGCTTCACTTCTTAATGATTGCCAAATTATCTAAAGAAATAACAACCAACAATTCTGGAGTCAAATTTGTAATTCTTGTTTATTTTTAATAATGACATATGTTTACGAAATTGACCGATTTTTTCGGAATCTGACCTCACTTCCGCTGAAAATTCACAAAGACCCGACGATTTGGCCCGAAACAGGTAGCTATAAAACATCTATTTTACTCATATTTACGTCATAAATTCGAATGACACCGTATGCAGGATGTTAGTTAAATATTCAGAGAAATATTGAATTATAGAATAATTCTAATAAACCTGTAACCCTTTCGATAATAACCTGTTTCTTAACTCGCCGGTTCTCAGCTGACTGCAAAGGGGTTCTGTAAGGAAAACTATTTTTTTAATTTCTTTTAATAGCCAATGCAGCAATAAATAAAGTTTACTAAATAAATGCATTAATTGATATGGTTAATGCACTACTCAAGGTTGTATATTTTTGAACCAGCTCCCATCGACACAAAGCAATATTTATTTTTGTAACTTCCCTAATGTACCTCATAAGGATCCTCTATAAACCACAGCTGGTTTCGTGTGTAATCTTGTACAATAATAGGTCTTAACCGCGATTTTAACGGTGTATATGCATATTTAACAGAAATCTGTTATAGTTTTTCAATTTCTATGTAGCTATCCAGTCATTATCTCTTTAATTTAAACACTTATTTAGTTTGATTCATTTTATTTACTGTTGATTTTTTTCGGCTTTTGATAGTGTTTTTTTATTTATTAGAAAAGTGTATTCCATATGTAGAAATGTGTAGGAAGATGTATGAAAAGTCAAAACACTAATACAATTATACAAAATAATTTGCTAGAGTTATATATATATATGTCATCAATACCGTAATCCATATATATATATATGACATGTGTATACAAAATTCAGTCTTCAATAATTTATCCAATTATGAACTACAGTAAGGAGTAATAGGTAGAATTTTGGGTTTGCTCGTTGTGGTCATGTCAGGGATGTTTATTAATTTTGATTGCTAGACCTTAGGCAGAGTTTGAAAAGTTGTACTAGGCCGACCTGTATTTTTATAGCAGTTTCAAACTTTGTGGGACCATATATATTTCTACGGAAAAATTAGACACATCAGGACTTTGACTCACGACTGTAGACCATTGAACATCAATATGCAAGATCCTGCAGTAAATAAGACAGAATATGATTTGTATGTGACGGGCAAATAAATTTCATTTATTTTTTCTCATATGTTTTTAGCTCACCTGGCACAAAGTGCCAAGTGAGCTTATGCCGTGGCGCGGCGTCCGTCGTCCGTCCGTCCGTCCGTCCGTCCGGCGTCAATATTTTACTTTAAACGACTTCTTCTTAATAACCGAAAGGCCTAGGGTGTCAATATTTGGCCAGAAGCAAACTTGGATGAAGGGCTACAAAGTTTGTTCAACTAAATGACCTTCACCTATTTTCAAGGTCACAGGGGTCAAATATGTCAAAAACTTTAAACATCTTCTTCTCAATAACCAAAATGCCCAGGGAGATGATATTTGGTCAGTAGCATGCTTGGGTGAAGGGCTACCAAGTTTGTTCAAATGAATGACCTTCAATTATATTCAAGGTCACAGGGGTCAATTGTATTAAAAAACCTTTAAACAACTTCTTCTGAATAACCAAAATGCTCAGGGTGATGATATTTAGCCAGTAGCATGCTGAGATGAAGTGCTACAAAGTTTGTTCAAATGAATGACCTTCACCCATA